CACGCCGTAACGTAGCTTTTTGACGTGCCTCTGAAGTTATTTTAGAGGTACTAGAGGTAAAATAATGAAGTTTGGAGCAATTTTCTGTCGGCTGCATACAGATATAACTTTTGTGCTACATACATGGCTCACATTAGACATCTTGGTCCAGGAAATTTCTTCGCCAAACGTGGCCTTATTCAGAGAGGATAGGCAGTCCAAAGAAGAATGAGGAGTGGCTATATATATTGGCGTGCACCTAAAAGTCGAAAAGGGACTGATTGTGTATTCCATCAGTCACCAGTTTCTGTCAGGAACAACACAAAGTACCGACCAGAAGTGGTATACAGGGCTTTAGTATGCACAACAGAGCATGTAAAACAAGTCCCCACCATCATATCAGAATCTGCCTCAGTAGCTCATGACCATGCAGTCCTCCCTGGAGATCTCAACATATCGATACTTCACTCGAAATCTGAAGAAAGTGGTAAATGCAGATCTTTCAAACGGGGGGTTCGAAATGCCTTTATGGCGCCAAAACTAAAAGAAGACTTTTTGAATGCACAAAATGTGGAACAAATAGAATAGGATGGCGAAATCATTACGCTCTAACGGATGACTATCTTTTGCCAAAGGATATTTATGTCCAACCCCATAGGAAAGAGAGATCATGCATTAGTATGACTCTCAAAGATAACCAAGGAGAAATTGCCTATAGCTGAACCGGAGGCGCTCTGCTGTTGCTTGAAGGCGTACTTCCGCTTGGTGGATGATGAAGTGCTGAAAGCACCGTGCACGAAAGTTGATGCTCTCTGCCGATAGATAATTACGTTCTCGCGAGTGCTGAGTGTACTCCACACGTAAACAAATAACCGCCTCCCGGATGCTCTTGGATGACTGGCGTGAATGCAAGGTAATATGGGTGAAAGATGGAATTGGCATAAGGTCCTTGCGTCGTCCCCTTTGTAAGTGACCCCCTGTTCATATCTTCTCGTCTGTCCTCCCATCCGCCTATGACATCAAATTATTGAGAACGGCAAGTAGGTAAGAGGATCTCAGGATACCTCAGTGCGACCAAGTGGATTTAGAATCCCAAACAGCTGGGGATGGTTTGGAGTTTAACCTAGAGAATTGCAAGGTGATGTATCTTCGAACACCGGAAGCTATGAAAATCAACAACACCCTCAGAAATTGTTCGATCACCAGGGTATTCATGGATAAGGACAAGAGACTAAACCTCTCCAATACGCTAGATCCTATTGCCAAATTTATGGGGATGGCGGTACATGCGAACGCCATCATTCAGTTTCTGAGAAGTCAGCTTGGAGCCCAACCTCAAGAAGCATTCCTCATAGTATTTAAGACTGAAGTTAGATAGCTTCTCATTTACTAAGAGCAGCCGCAATTTACAGAGAAGGGTGAAAAGGTCAGTTTTGGGCTAACAGGCAAGACATTAGGCAGCGCCTTAGGCAAACCACCTTGTTCAACTTGAGCCATCAAGGAAAAAGAGACGGTTCAATAGCAGCCTAGAAAAATGTCCGCCAAGTAGACCACTCCGAAAGGACGGCATTATCGGTCCAAAAAACAATCTCTGGAGAACCCTGCTCACACACCTTATCAGAAAGCAACTATGGGAGTCACATTTGTCCTCCTCTCTCACATGGTGCTCCGCCTAAGAAACTGGTCGCAGTTACTCAGTTAGCTACTTCAAGTGGATGCCTGATAATAACTTGAGTGAAATCAGATTACCACAAACATGCACTAAAGGGTGTATCAATTTAACCCTGTGCTATCCAATCCTGGAGTCTGCAATGTGAACCATATCTTCTCCATATTCTTGCTATTAATACTTATTTTCCATAAGCACTTTCACTCCTCTTCTCTCATTCTCTACTCACCACTCCTTTCTAGCTCTGCTTCTTGAATATGGCTCAATAATGTCCCATAGGCTAGTGAAAAGATGAGAATCGACAGGGGTTAAATGATCTTATCAGCAGCTCCGCTCCTCCTTCGAACAAACCAGCCTAAAATTTGCAAAGCAGAAAGCGTTCAAATAGACAACCACAACCCAAAAACTATTAGTCGTTAAAATGTAAATACTTCTGCCACCGGGTAAGGAGCTTAAATGAACAAAGAGAACCGATCCTCATGACAGAGAAGTGAGAGTTAAGAAACTACTGATCTCCTTCACTCACACTATTGATGTTAGATGTTCAGTAAATAACTTCTCCGGCTTGTCCACCTTTGGTAAACGGTAAATGATGTTGAACAAGGACAGAATAAGTTGAGCAAGCTCGTCATAAAACTTTCATAGGCGTTTCTTTGAAAGGGAGATGTAGCAAAGGAAAAACTTACTCTACTTCTGTTCTTCCCGCTTGCAGCTCATATGGTTCAAACGGTTGTTGACGGAATAGAAGCTTTCGCCCAACTGGCTTCCGCATCTAAAATCTATGGGCTACTACTTTTTGTGATCTTTGACTTGTGTATGGATAACAAGCAAGGAATTGGCGATGGCCAGAAAAAGAAAATTCAATTAGTTCTGGGCAGAGCCGAGCCACGTGTCAAATAAGTATCCAGTCGGCGTTCAGAGGATCCAGGTGAAGTAGCCCGGATCACGTTTGTAGGAAGAGACCCCAAGGTTCAGCAACCCTTGATGTATGGAGGTTTCGTCTGATACCTAACCTGGTATGTGCTGGGCTTGGTTTCTGTATGTGCTACGGCTTAGATTTAATAAGTGACGGAGGGGCGCCCAGGGTTGCTTAGGATGTTATGAGTCATTAGCGAGTCTCCTCTTAGCTTTCTTTATTCCAGGAGTTATAGACCTAGCGCAATCAGGCTTTTGCGTACGTTTTGGATCCAAGTCCTCGAATAAATTTGGTCGAGCGCTTCTGGATGCGTTCCAAACTATCCGTAACCGAAGGATAATTGAATAAATAGTAGTAAGAAGAACCTTGCCATATACTTCAGTAAGACACTTTTATGTCATCAAAAATAATACTAGGATACAGCATAGCAGTGTAATTTAACCAAACAGAGTGACATTTTATTGGAAGTAGAAGCATGACCTTTTGTTATTACGCACCAATTATTTATTGCTCGTCTGACGGCAACCATTTGAGTCGTGTACCAACGGTTTTTCTTTTTTGGTTGTGAGTTTCAGGTTCCCCACTTTGTGTTATGACCAGTTATTTGCACTCAAATCCTCTGTCATTTATTTAGAAATTTTCCAGTGCTTGTGGCGTTTTCCCTTTACTCTGACGCCTTTCGTTGATGGATGGTTGTTTCTGTCACACCTGCATTTTGACACCATCTTGTTAGCAAAATATCCAGATGGTTTCCTTATGTATCTTGCAGACAAATTGAAAATAGTTATAGGTGTTGACATTTATTATGCTGACACTAGTAACCCAAAGTTAACTAGTGAAGGAAGTTCTTATTGCAGTTTCTATGTTTAGGGTTGTTCATGAGTAAGAATCTGCAACTAACGTACTACTTACTGGTGGGTTCTTTGACCAATCTATTACCTAACCTTTTTTATACTGATTGTCGCTTAGGCGCCGACGGTTTTTGAGAATAAGCAGGTGGCACAAATCAAATGAAGTCGACAATACCTTCACCTGTCTTTCCCTAAAAACGTTCATACTGGCTTGATTGGTTGTAATTTGGCAATGAACTGCTTTGGTGCCGTCCAGGTTTCGTTTGTTTACATCTCTCAATTTCTAGAGTTTATTTAATGAGTTGTAGATGGGTACTTGTACCACGATCTCAATAACTGTTGTTACCATTTTGCACCTGTGCTTCAGTTGTCATGTTTAGTGACATAGAGTAAGTTCTTAAAAACTTGAGGTTCAGAAGCTGTAATATTTAAATTTGAATGTGTTTTATGCTAACTTGGTGTCACTCTGTACTGTTAGATTTTGGAGCTGAAATCACTACCTACACTATCCTAGTTCAGTATCTATGCTGCATTTCAAAAAAAATTGATCCTTAAAGTTAATATTTTAGCTGGCATGGATTTTGCAGATATGTTACATGTCTGGACTTGATGTGACTGTGAATATGAGGTGGAAATTAACCTATTGAGTAATTTATTTACCTTGTAAATAAATGTAGCTTCGTTTCATCTTTGCTTCCCGGGAATTGAGCTGAGGTGGTTAGACTGGCGGTTATAGAATATCAGCCGGGTTTCGTAAAGACCTTTCGATTAACACATGGAGTTTGAACATGCATTTTTGGGTGAAGAACTGTAAGTCAAGACAAACAGTCGGCATATCTTCGAAATAATAGGAAAGGGGAAAATAACGGTGAAAGATAAGACTGGTTTCATTTGGGTGGTCATTAGTTTTTGGAGAAAGTTTTTATCGAAGTTGTGTTCCTCATATATTAACGGCTGAAAATGGTTGTTTCACACACTTTTCGGTTTACTTATTGTTTTTGTCTTTTGATTTTGTTGATTTTTTCGAAATGTCGCAGGTCGCAGATAACTCTACTGTCGGTGGTTTTTACCGGAATACAAACCCCACTAAGTGATTAACTAGTAGATTTCTAGTTCTCTCGATCTCAGCTTGAATCATGGTTTTGTAGTCGCTAGCTTAAGCCTATAAAGTAATGTTTATTCGTACTCATTTAGGATCACAGATAGCTTCCATGAACCCATAGTTTGACTGAAATGACTCTAGTAAACTGTTTATTTCTAAACATCATTTCAGCACTAAATCACAACATGTTTTGTTTAGTTTTCAAGTAAAGAATCGCCAGAGTATATTATTTCAACCTGAAAGAAAAAGTGACCTTCATAAAGTCATCATGGTGCACACTGCGTCAAATGAGCTAAGAATCTGTATATATCCAGTCGCTTGATAAAATATGCTTATTAAATGCATTTTCCGTAGCGTCCATTTAGAGACAAATTACTAATCATTTTTTGCGTGCCATTGTTAGTTTTGCTGATGCGATAATCACGTTTTTGGTTTAACTGCTTTTAAAGTATGCTTTTGTGCACATTTTAGGTAATTTTGAAAATGATGTCCATGGCTGTTGCTACTGTTGCCACTGCAGTTGGCTTTTACTTGTACAGACGTAAATCTTGTCAAATCGATTTTCCTCTTGATCGTTATTTACATGAACAATCTATAATAAAGAGCGATGAAGTAAATATCATTTGTATTGTTTTAGTTGTCAGCAATATTTCTGTGATTTTTTGATTGATAATCTTAATCTACGTTTCGGTGATGGATTTATCTGATTAAAAGCACGCCGTTTGAGATATTTCTACAGAACTGGTTGATTCTTACTTAGCTTCGTTGAACAAACATGCAGATACTTATTACTGTGCACTTGATCAGTATGTGTTATATAGTGGCTACATCCCGTAGTAACCCTATTCTTACTCGCGGTTGAACATTTATGATGGTGGTTCATAGGATCATCATATTTTTAGACGGTCATTAATTGCAGCACTTGTTGCACTTGCTTGCTAGCCCACCTACCCACCAAGCACAATTAGATTGGATTTAGTCTACCTATTCTGGCTAATTAAATCACGGAATATCGAATGGCCAATCTGTCCAGACCTTTGCATACTGCATATGATGCTTTTTTAGTGATTGACTTTATACACATTCGTTTCCTCTGGTAACCTATTCAAAACTGAAGATGAATTTTTGCAGTCATCGATGAAACACATATTATGCCAGTCGAAGCCCTCTCTGCTTCTTGCTGCTGAGGTACCTATGTTTGAACAAGTGATCTTTATTGTAGCCTTTCGTAGTGTACCCTTGATTAAAACGAACTTAGCCTTGCACCATTTCTGATATTTTTCATGTTCCTAAATTTATTCCGTTAAATAAGTGAAACAATAAAATTCATTTTCTGCCCCAAAATATTTGCAAGTGTTTTGATTGAGTTTAATGGTCGCTTTCCCATTGATTTATTTTTCCAAAAACAGGCAAATTGTCGAACTTTTGTTGCGCACACATCCGTTCCTAACTCATACTCTAGTTTGTCTACTGTTTGTGAATTATTTTGCTGTGGACTTAGATCTTCAGGTAAATCATTGATGATAATTTTTACATACGTTTTGTACAGTTGTCAACTACGTAGGTAAAAAATTTAAGGCAAACGTCTATGATCTTTTGTTTCAAGTATAAAGTGTCTCGTATGAGACATTAGGATTTCTGGTTGAGTATTTCTCTAGCCAGTACTGGTTTTTAGTTAATGTTTTTTGATCTGATTTTACCTTCCACCCACGACAATAAGAACTACATATTTCTAGGTAGTTAATTACTATCTCATTAGGGTTGTAGTTTTTACACTTCGCACGCGTTCATCTTAATGCATCTTGCTGTGTTTGACAGCCTAATTAATAGTTATTTGGTGGAGTGATTTGAAGGTGATGCAATTGACGGTTTAGTGAGTAAAGTATGCTTTTACTGAAGATGCTTTTCACTTATGTTTTACTATGGAATATGTAAGTGATGAAGCTCAGCAGATGTGTACCGCAGTGTGATAACCGCCAATTCCATCTAGTTGTCTTAACCTATTTGGATACAGTTGACTATTTGAAAATGTTCTTTTGTTGTTCTTGAGGTTTTACAATCACATTTGCTAATATTATAATCCATTCAGCAAGTGCTTAAGATTCCTTGGCCATCCTTTGTATTCAGTTACGGATTGCTAAACTGTGATGATTCATCTTTTTGACCACAAATGATATGCATCTCGCGACCCTATGGGTTAAAACGGATGTAAGGTTTCGTTTTCAGATATTTATCTTCTCATTTTTCTTTTATCACTCGTTTTAAAATCTTCATATGCTTTTTTTCTCAGTAGTAAAGCAGATTTGTAACTCATAAAACACACTCGTTACAGAGTGGGTACCGGCCATCACCTAACGTAGTAATAAGCTATTCAAGAAGAACTACGAGAGGTTGCAGGAGATTAAGTGGTTATCAATTCACGTTTCATCCACTCGCGTATTTCACCTCATTTTATGCTATTGAATGATTAGGTAACTCACCTTGTTTGGGAAGACGAGAAAATTGCAAAAAGGAATACGAATGGATTACTTATAATCAGGTATGTTGATATACTTGTTGTCGTTATTACACGCCCATTTGGTTTCCCTTAACGTTTCTCAATTGTAGTTCAACCCTTCGGGGACGTATCGAAGGTTAACTGTCATCCAAGTTTTCTTTTTTGAAATTTTACGTGCTTAGGAATGAATATTGCATAAATCCTAAGGGGTAAAGCAGATGCTGGGCTTGTTTGATCAGTATTTTGAGTTATTTTCCAGGTATTCCAACACAAAGCCTAGACTCTGAGTTAATTTTTTGGTTATAAGTCTTTTACATGTTATTCTCTCCCCTTTTTTTCATCCTCTTTTACTGATAAAAGTTTCCTAAATCAGTCCCAGTTCTGTATGTGTAAATATTCATTACATGAAATCACTTGTGAAGATCAACCATATTATTTACCTGCCGATCGATATCTAGATAGAGTTTGAACACGTGTTGTCATTGATTATCACATTTCTATACCCATGACTTAAAAGATTGACCATTCTTATCATTTAATCAAAATGAGGGATATTAATATTTCAAGCATGCAAACAGTGATACTTCATTCATACCTAGGAGAGTGTGAATTTACACATAGTGGTCGTAAATCACATCAACGCTTATTTCACAGTAATCCAAATGTCTACCAACGCATTTCTTTAGCTGTTATTTATATAGAATGCAAACTTGGTCCGATGAGGGTACCGAGCAATGCTCCATATAACATTAGAAAGATGTAAAAGTGATAAGTTAAGGAAACGAGCAACAGTGCAAAGGCAAAATGAAAGAGTTTATAAGGGAAACAGTATTGAGTATACATTCAAAGCAGTATTCGTCTTTCTTGACAAGAGAAGAAATATGAAAGCTGTAACATAATCGCTAATGACCCGCTTCTGATATCATCCTCAGCTACCGAGTTGCATGATTTCGCGGAAACTATCTAAGAAAATGTTAAGAGGAAACATGCTAGGTTTGGATGAGAGTTGGGATACTACCCGAGTGCCCAGGCCAAAACGAATGGTTGTCTTATGTAGCTAACTCAACAAGCCTTGACTGTAAGTCTGATTCGAAAGACAGAGGAACAATTTCAAGTTCTGCATTCCCATGATGGCTGGTGACCACAGTAGGTCCGCACATCGTCCATCCGTTGGAGATCCTGGAGCCCATGTGAGCCACTATTATTATTATTATTATTATTAGTCCCTTGGGTTCCTAGTGGAACATAGGGCTTCAGTAGCACGCCTCCAGTGACCTCTGTTCTCTGAGATCTTTTGAACCTGGTCCCACGACAGCCCAGAAGCTCTCATTTCCTGCTCGCACGACCTCCTCCATGTCACCCTCGGACGTCCAACTCGTCGCTTCCCATGGGGATTCCACTCGAGGGCCTGACGCGTGATGTCCTCCGTCGGCCTTCTCAGTGCATGGCCAATCCATCTCCACTTCTTCCTGCATATTTGTTGCGTGATAGGTTCTTGGTTGGTTCGTTCCCAGAGTTCCTTGTTGCTTATTTTTTCTGGCCATCTGATCTTCAGCAGCGAGCGTAAGCAGTTGTTGATGAATGTCTGTAGTTTATTGGAAATACCTTTCGTGACGCGCCAAGTCTCTGAGCCATACAAGAGCACTGACTTGACGTTGGTGTTGAAAATCCGTATCTTGTTCCGCATGCTGAGTGCAGAAGATCTCCACACTGGTTTCAGGCTAATGAATGCCTGTCTTGCTTTTCCGATTCTGACTTTGACGTCCTCGTCCGTCCCGCCTGTAGTTGAAACAGTGCTTCCTAGATAAGTGAAGGAGGTTACTTCCTTTAAGTTTCTCCCGTTGACAGTGATTGGAGTTTGTTGTTGTTGTTGTTGTTGATGGTGGTGGTGCGGTATCTTCATCACTTCTGTCTTCTCTATATTCACCTGAAGTCCCGTCTTCGCTGCCTCTTCTATCAACTTGTTAGTTTTTGCCTGCAGATCTTCAAGTTTATGTGACATTAGGCATAAGTCATCGGCGAAATCCAAGTCTTCTAGGTTCTTTTCCGTCGTCCAGTGTATCCCCCTCTTCTCGCTGCCTACTGTTTGCTGCATGATCCAGTCCACCACAATCAAGAATATCATGGGGGATAGTAGGCAACCTTGTTTCACTCCTGTCTTCACTTCAAAGGCATCACTGAGCTTCCCATTGTGGATTACTTGGCATGTAGCATCTTCATATAGTTGTTGAATGAGGCGGATAAAGGTTTGCGGTACTCCGTAGTATTGAAGCAGTTTCCAAATTACTTCTCGGTCGACGCTGTCAAAGGCCTTCTCAAAGTCGATGAAGTTGAGGTGGAGAGGTGATTGCCATTCTATGCTCTGTTCTATGATGATACGAAGCGTTGCAATTTGGTCTGCACATGATTTGTACTTCCTGAAGCCTGCCTGTTCCGGTCGTAGTTTTGAATCCAGTGCATCCCTTAGCCTCTCCAGGATGATGCGGCTTAATATTTTACTTGGGGTGGACAGGAGAGTGATTCCGCGCCAGTTCTTGCAAGCACTGAGGTCTCCCTTCTTCGGCAGTTTGACAAGGTAACCCTTCTTCCAATCGTCAGGTACCTTCTCTTCCTTCCACACCTTCTGCAATAGTGGTGTGAGCATGGCCGCTGTTGTCTCTGCATCTGTTTTCAGTGCTTCTGGCGGTATTCCATCTGGTCCTGCTGCTTTCCCGCATTTCAGTAGCTTTATGGCGTTCAGGACTTCCATTTTCGTTGGGGGATTAATGTTCACTTGTAGTTCAGCGGCTGCAGGTGGTATTTCTGGACGAAGTGCAGGTGGTGGTCGATTCAAGAGCTTCTTGAAGTGGTCGGCCCATCGTTTCCTCTGTTTCTCTTCTTTTGTAATTAAATTTCCTTCTTCATCTTTTATTGGTTTCATCTGTGTTGGTCTCTTCCCTGATAGCAACCTGGTTATTTGATACAATGTCGTCAGGTCTCTCTTACCTGCAGCCTGTTCTGCTTCACTTGCCAGTGTTTCGTAGAAGTGTCTTTTGTCTTTGCGTGCACTCTTCTTCACTTCTTTGTCCAGTGTTTTATACATTGTGCTCAGTTCCTCTTGTCGTTGAGCATCCTTGCACTGGTTTATCTTCTGCTTCACCATCCTCCTCTCCTCTATCAGCTTCCAGGTATCCGTCGAGATCCATTCCTTGTCTTCTTTCTTCTTCCTTCCTAATACTGTTGTGCAGGTTTCTTTCCACATAGCTTTCAAAGACTTCCAGTGTTCTTCCACACAGGTTTCTTCAGGGATGTTGCTCGATGTCTCCCATTTTGTCTTGATGGCTGCCTTGAAGATCTCCTTTGTAGTTTCATCCTTCAGTTTCCGAGTGTTGTACTTGGGTTGAGGTCTATCACCAGCTTCCTTGAAGGCTTTTAACTTGATTTGGAAGGTTCCTTGCACTAGATAGTGGTCTGAACCTACATCTGCTCCTCTTCTTGACCTTGTGTTAAGTAGACTGCGTCTCCATTTTCTTGAGATTGAGATAAAGTCGATTTGATTTTTAGTGTGTCCATCTGGTGAAATCCATGTCGCTTTGTGGATATCTTTGTGCCTGAACACACTGCCTCCAATCACCAAATCGTTGAATGCGCAGAATTCTGCAAACAATTCTCCATTCTCATTCATTTCACCTAGCGCCTCTCGACCCATGGTTAGTTCTCTTCCCGTGTTGTCCCCTCCCAGTTTGGCATTCATGTCGCCCATCAGAATTTTGATATCGCCAACTGACGTCTTGTCCAGTGTTGATTGAAGTTGTCTGTAGAAATCCTCCTTTTTCTCTTGCTCTGCATTATTTGTAGGTGCATAACATTGTATGATTGTGACCTTTCTTCCTTTTGAGTTGAATCTTGCTGTCATGATCCTGGAGGAGATTGGTTCCCACTGCATGAGAGCCTTCGATGCTCTTGAGGACATCATGATAGCCACTCCCTCAGTGTGCTCGTGGTTGGCGTCTGGGTGACCGGAGTAGATTATTGATTCTCCAGTTGACAGTTTGGAGAGTCCACTCCCATTCCATCTGCTTTCGCAAATCCCAAGCACTTCGATGTTATACCTTCTCATCTCCTTGCAATCTGGGCTGCCTTACTGGGTTCAAACATCGTGCGGACATTCCATGTCCCCACGTTTACTTTCGCTTTCATCGAGAGAAGACACATCGGCCAATTGGCTTCCCGAAGGCTTTCACCAACTGGCGTCATTTCGCCTCTCCGATTCCAGCGGGGAATAAGTTTGTTTTCATTTTTTATATTTTGTTTGTGCTTTGAAGTTTCTTTAGCGGTTAGATTTGTTTTACGGGGTAGGGTTGCTAGCCCTATGCCCAACCTTCCCTCTTTACCCGGGCTTAGGACCGGCTAGTAACTAGTAAACTAGTTAACCAGGCGAGGTTTGTGAGCCACTAGTATGACACTAATACAAGGCATCTTCCCCAGGTGAACCCTTCAGATCTAAGAATTTGGTGTTTAGCACTGGACCTTCGCTTTCGCCCTCTCGCTTTCATGAAAACACCTAACCACGTGAATACGATGAGTAAGACTTCCCCAATAGAAGCTATGAGTTGTCATGATGGCGTAAATGTATTCATTCTTCGATGGCTTCTAAAGTCTGTAATTTTTCACAAATCCTCATTTTTCAATTCCATCCTCTTTTCCTCCCTATGCACTTTAGTCCAATGTGATCTTACTTTTTCTTCTCACGCTTGTGTGAAGTATAGCAACTTGAACAGAGGCAATTCCATGAGACTTTTTACTTTGATTGTTTATGTCTCTCAATAAACACATTGCCGTATGAAAAGATTCTTCGATCATACTTAGTCGTTTGCGCTATGTACACTCAAATTAATTTTCGAAATGAAAGCAAATCGAGATCTTCACTTGGTTTTCAGTACTAGGTCACTTATTCTTGCCACTTATTGAGAATACATATTTCTGCTGGTCTTCCATCCATCGATCCAAATCAACGTAGAACCAGACATTACTGCGTAACGGTCCGAGTCGCTACAGCTCATGTCAGTACATCAACTAAACAGGCGATGAGGTGGGAGATGAAGAAAAGAAAATTCAGTTAGAAAGAATATAAAGTACTAAAAGAGGGAAAGGGAAGGATGAGAAAATGGTGAGATTCAGTGTAGCCTCGCTAAGATGAGGGTAATGTGTGTATACATCTGCACCAATGATATCGGTTCTGAGCCATATCGCCTAGAGTCTCTACCACTGGTTTCTCTTGTCCCATGGACCCCAACCAGCTAGTCTGCATCGCCCCACATGGCTCAAACCAATAGTCAATCTGTCCACCCCGAGCCTTTTTCCAGCCTGAAGCTACTTTGGCCAACATTGTGCTACGAGGTAACACATATCCAAGCTATCTCAGTTGACGGAGTTCACAATAGCATAAAATGACTTACCACTCCTGCCTAAAACTCTACGCCTGACTTCTGCGTTACTCACGTGGTGACACCACGGAATACGGCCTATACTACGAAGGCGGTGATGGTCAAACGCCTGAAGCCTTCTCGTGTCTTCTACCTTCAGCGGCCGTGTTTCAAAGCCATAAAGTAAAATAGAGTGAACTGCAGCACAGTACAGTCGACCCTCAATAGATAATCAGATATTGCGGGCTACAGGTGGCGTAAGTTGGCAAAAGCCAGCTAGTCAAGCCTTTTGTATTCGTGCAGCGATTTCGTCGGCCACTGACCCACCAAGGCTGATCCAAATGCCCGGGTAAGCGAAGTGTTCAACGTGCTCAACCACTTCGCTCTCTGTTTTTACTCTGGATACCGTTGAAGACCAATCCTGGAACAACAATTTGCGATTGGGTGGTGGGAAACACATCCCAAACACTCGAATTCTCACTCAAAGTGTCCAGGAGACTGCATCTAGTCAGCATCTTCATCTAACAGGACTATGTCATCTGCATATTCTAGGTCTAACGAGAATTCTCCCGCGATTAGGTCAACCTCTGTGTAATCAGGTGATGAGAGGGAGACCTCCATGAAAATATCTATGATAAAATTGGATAGAAATGTAGAGAGTGGGCACCCTTGACGGACATCACTCGACGAACATAGCTCCCTGGGCATCTCACCATGGGCTGTAACACACCTTCAGGTCGAGAAATACAGATATTGTAGAGCGTCGGTAAGCGTATTTGTGTTCCAGAACCTGACGGAGAGTGAATATTTGGTCGATGCATTCGCGGCCGGGTCTGAAGCCTGCCTGGTTTTCTTGGGGTTGCTGTTCCCGAGCTCCACTCAGGCGTCGAAGAATAATAGAACCTAGTATTCCAGATACTATGTTCGTTAAGCTGATTCCTCTATGGTTATCACAAGAGGACTTCTCGCCTTTCTTGAAGACTGGAATAATCGGTGATTTAGACCAGTCAGAGAGGATCGTATTTGATCCCATATACTAGTTAAAACCTCCGTTAACCTAACTACCTGACCAAGAGCACTCTACCACCATGCTTATATACCCTAGGAGTTAGTCCCGTCTGGTCCTGCTTCCCTTCCTCGTTTCAAGTTACCTACAGCTTTCCTGACCTCGCTGCACGAAAAACGAATTTTTAAGTTTGCTGAGGCCGATATATAAAAAGATCTATCGTCCACTCTTTTTAGGATGTATGAAGATATTTTTGGTTATCCAGGAGTGACCATTCAAACGTACTGATGATCGACAAGGCACCTTTGTTGCTTTGGTCATGAGAAACTCACTTATTTCAGGTCATTTTCGTAACTACAATACCTGTGTATGGAAATGTCACAATAGTGTACAGTTAGCAATAAAATAGACTGAGTCTCCGAACTTATTACTTTAGTTCATTAGTCAGGTAATGTTGACGTACTGTAGAGCACCGGGCCGGAAACTCGATGGCGGCTGGTTCGAATCCTGCCGCACCCCAAATATTCTTATTTATCACTATGATTTCAAAACTGGTTTCAGTTTTACATATAACGTAAACATTTGATTGGAGGTAATTTCTTTCAAGAGTCGAGCGTTTAAAACTCATAGGGATATAAGAGAATGTTTATGGTTGCCATCGCTAAGATATTTTATGTGAAATGGATTCTGTTTTACTGTTTTCCGATATGTGAACCACTTTTTGGGACCAGCCTGGTTTCTGTGCTGACACATTTCTGCTTCACTAATGTTATTTTCAAATAAGCAGTAATTTCATAGGAATGCTAATTCTTCCATCAAATTAGCACAGAAGCAATTTCGTGAACTTTCCTGTTTACTTCCTTCCTTTCTTCTTTTTATGCAGGTTAAAGATGAAATCTGTGTTGTGCAGTCAGCTCTTCATGCACTTGAAATTGAAGGCTTAAATGGAAATCATTTTGTTGGTATTTCATCAAAAAATTCCCCTGAAGTAAGTTAATTTTCGATTTCACTCTTTTTTCCTCGTGTGTTTTGTTGAACTAAAGGTACATTTTCTTACTTGTTCTGATTTTTCAAATGGTTAACACATTTCCTTTTCTTATACGAAGTGTTACTTGTTGACGTTTGTTAATGGTGCCAACAAACTTCCAAATAAGCCTGAAAATTTGCGCTAAAACATTTTAAGTTGCCTGCAGACACCACAGTTTGTGGTGAATGGATTCATTCCACTAAACCGTGATATTATCTTAAAAGCGATCTAAGGAGGAAGTTAATCCGCGCAGAAACTGATTCATTGGTTTAGACGGTTGATATTTAACTAATGGATCACACTTTCGAATCCTGCTCCACTTACCCAGGTTTTGGCAACCTAGTAGTATCACTAACCCTCACACAATAGGTGTGATTCACTGCCTACTGAGTGAACATACACACACTTACTGAGTTCAGTGAATGAATGAATATGAGCTATGGATAATATTCAAAAGTATGATGATACATCTTATTGAAATGCTGCTAACTTCGATAACGATCAGTCTACTAATAGCGTATGTACTAAACTAAGGTTTATTAGTTTTCGATAATTATCTCTCACTGTGTGTAAATTGCACTAGCAAAAAAACAAAAAAAACTTTTTGCATTCATCGATGTTTCTTTCCAGTTTTTTTTATTGTTAAAGGAGAACTTACATAAAAAGATTTAATTCGTGAAATTCATGATTTCAGAAGTCATAGTCATATCTGCGTTTGTACTTATACGTAACATACATTCACATATATTTTGTGAGGACGTTAAGGTGTCACTGCAAAACACCCCTCGCTTCTTCTTGAGGTTGCTACTGATGTCACCAAACCTAGTAATGAAACGTCCATTGTCAATACCAAAACTTAGAAACGGAATTGTGAGACGGCAATTATTTGTGAACGTCACATGCATTTCATTTTACTAGTTTATTACCCGATCAATTTTTAAACTCTTCAGTTTATTTTTCTCTCAGTGACGAATTTGCCACATTTCTCATGTATTGGGTTTTAAACTTAACTTGAAGCAGTCACGTTGGGTTTTATGCATTGCTTCGGCTTTCTATCTGCATGATGAGAACACAAATGCGAGGAACAAATCTACCCATCGCCACACTCAAGCTGTAGCGTACTCTTTCTGACAGTTTACCTTTGTCTTTCACTGTTTTTATTCGCTTGACAGCAGTAATAAAACGCTTATGGCTGAAGTTAGGGCAGTTGCCTAATGATAGTGTCCAAGGGACAATGTTCTGTTAACCATAAAAACTATTTTGTGTGTGTCTGGTGGTGTTTAGTCGTTTGGATTAACTTCACTTATTGGTACTCGTAATATCTCGTTGTTATACTGAATCGATTGGGTTGATCTCTGGTGGCGTATGAGCTCCTGTTAGGATCCACTTATATTGCCTCAAAATTATGTTATAATTTGTTTGACCGTAGCTAGCAGTGGAATCCAGAATGCACATTTCGTCCTGTTTGAAACTTGTCAGCTAGATGCAACTGTCTTCCAGTAAGTGTTATTACTATTACTTGAAAGTAGCACCCATTGCTTCGAACGTCACAGCGTTATCTACCAGTAAGTGATACTGTTTCACTGTGTAACACTTCTCATAAACAGACTAAAATGGAATCCCCGTTTCGTTGTTGAATAATACATCATAACAAATATGAAAGGATTTTCTTTTTTCGAAACTAGCTTTTACTTACCAAATAGTTCTCATAAGAACTTGTTGTATAAGGAAGTTTCAAATCGTGTATAGTAATTATGTATGTCAGCTAACTGAAAGGAATTCTTTAGTTATCAACCATTTTAGCTCAATTAAAAACTTTATTTACCTAAAATGTATCAGTGTATGTTGTAACAACAAATCAGCTAAATATTAACACATTATTTCCCGTTTTTGAGTGGTTTGAACTAAATCACTTGACCTGCCTCGATACAGGCAATGATTCCACTTTGGTATTAAGGATGAATGGTTTCGAGTTTCAGTGGGTACACCATCTTTCTCTGGTATGCATGTGCATGCGACTGATTAGTTCCAAGTAGAACGAAACATTCATCCTGGGATCTATCACTAATCACCGCTCATCCTCAATGTCAAATCAGTTAAGTGTTTATCAGTAATCCCACGCTATATATATGACGAAATAGCAGTGAACAGGAAGGACACAATGATGTCTCGAAATTTCTCAATAGCCTGATGTAATTCGTCCTGTATACCAACTCTATGTGTCATTACCTCCTTATATTCATCGTGTTTTCATCACCAGTCCACATGATTTCATTATTGCGACCAAGCCCTATTTCTTTTTCTTATCTAAATTTATGGATACTCGTATCACTGCATATTTGCTCAATATTCTTAGTTTGATAAGTTTAACTGCAACACTTACGCTTGACTTTTCTTTATTGGCTTTCGGAATATGATGACAGTTTAAAGTAAATTAATCTTTTTGTTTGGTCTTCAATTGTCTTTCCCCCTCCACAATGCAAGTCTGCATAACTTAAGCAAATTTAATAAACTCTATGGCTTATTAATTTTTTCATATTTTTCTACTAACATCTCAAATGTGTTATCTCTGCCTAAAGTGTCTGTTCTGTGACGGCTCAATTTAGTTTAGTTTACGTTGCCTATGGAAACCAATCTAAGTTTACTGCTGCACATTTAGGTATCACTCTTTCCGCCAATGAGGTTTAGGTTTCTAAGGGAACACCGATTTGTAATCCATGGGAGTAATTCATGAAATTCGAAAACTTCACGCCTTATTCTTAGTGATGAAAATTTGGTATTAACTGGCAGTGTGGTGCTGTATCTGCTACATCACTGTTTTCCGATGTATTGTTTGTCAAACTTTTATTCCATTTTTATTACTGGGGCGGGATGGTGAAATCCAAACTTTATCTGTGTAAATGTTGAGTAATTTTTGGGTCATCGAAAATTCGTACAAGTGTGAACCGATTAATTTATGCTTCGATAGCTTTGCCCTTCTTCAATGTCTTTCATTGGTGAACAATGGTCATTTATTCCCTTCTTTCCACTGTACATATCCAGTGATGTTTATTGTAACTTACTGTCCAAGCATAAAAATCAAGTGATTTTGAACGGATTTTTTGTTGTTTAAAATGAGGTTATTATTGATTGGTTTTTTGTTTCAAAAATGCAAAAACCAGATAATGTATTTATTCTATATAAAATGTTCTGCAGATATGGTACAAATATAAGACAAATTCTGAAGCTGTGATATATTTTATTTCTATTAATTGGGGAGATGTGATTCATTGAGATCAACACTCAATTTCGAATCTACGGGTTGCGGGTTTGAACTTCGCTCCATCTACTTTGACCTAGTAGTTGGACAGTATCACAGACCCTCCTCATGCATTAAGTATGACCTGTAATCTAGCGCATAAAGTCTACTCCAAGCGATTGAATTGCGATGCCGCAAACTACCTCTCTGCTGCTATACAAAGACCCAGGCTACATCATTTTTATCATAACTCCGATTTTACCAATAGAGCATCAAATCGACCTTGGCTGTGAAATAATTTGTAAGCATCCATTGTCACACTGTTTTTCAGTCTTTTTATTCACCTACTTGACGGTCTTGTATACTGTGTTGTAAACACATAGGTGGAAGAAAGCCCATAAAATATTTCTCATCAGAATCCCTCGGTAAGCTGTGTTTATATAAGGTAGAAAAGATATACTATTTTGATATTAGGAGAAAAAAGTTGTATTGTTGACTCCTGCACACAGTTGGCATATGTGGCATATTTTGATATGCCATTTCCGACCTTAGACTGGCTAAGATGCCTAGTTAACTCACCAACCTACCACTTTGGTGTGCATTATTATGTAAAGTAGTGGGATTGCAGCTGACTATGATCAGATCTGCTTAAAGAAAGTTGAGAGGCTTAAAGTAACTTTCTTCAGATCTGCTGGAATCGCGAGATTCAGAGGTTTGATATTGGGGGTTAAAATCACCTTTAATGACTAGGATGCATTTGATTCCTATTTTCTTACTCAACGCAGACATTTGATGATCTTAAATGTATGTGCTTTACATTGTTTGATATCGTTTCACCGTACTTTTGCGTTCAACAGACTGATTGAATTCATTGTATCAAGATATTCTTACCTTACTAATAAGTCGATATTAAGTACTCTGTGATAAAAATTAGACTATTTTCTGTCTAAAAATATGCGTAACTATAAATTTGTGTTTGATGAAGATTTTTGGTGTATTTTCTCCTTTCTTTATCCCAGTGGATCATCATTGAATTGGCTTGTGCATTCTCCGGCTATACCGTTGTACCTCTATATGATACTTTGGGCGAAGAAGCTGTTTTGAGTATTGTCAAACAAAGTGAGACAGTTTTAGTGCCTATAAGCTTTTGTCATAGACCCACTTCTTTAAAAGCAAGTTTTGTAATTTTTATTCCTAATTGCTTTTTGTTAAATTGACTTGACATATGTAGAGAATCTACCCATTTATAGAATAATCAGTCCAGAGAATAGTTTGTTCAGGCTTATGCGTTTTTTAACAGGATTTGCAAGATAAGAGATGAAATTGAATATTAATAGTAAAATCCAACTGCGAATCCTGACAAATCACCTTTCGATTATTTATAATACTTCCCAGTGTATCAGTAATCTTCTCTCTGGTTACCGAATCGACAGTACCTAGTGTAATATATCAGCTAAAAGCGTTGTTACGTAGTTGACCATCCACCCGTTGAGGAGACGCTTGATAAAAAAACCTAGTTAGTGGTGAAGATAATAATCATATCTAGTTGAGTAGTTTCTTTTAAGAATTATGATATCCTATGCCTATTCTGACGTCGTTTTTGGTTCATGTTTGCTAATCAAATGGAAGTAATAAATAAGTTTACTGAACCAGTGCGACTTTAGTTATTGGTACTGAAAAGAACTCAGGAAACAGGAAAGTCTTCCACTCAGAGTTATCGTAAGCCGTCAGTCATGAGTCTTTTGTGCAGTTACAAGCTGCTTATATTGGGTTTAAAAAAAGTATGACTGAGTAGTAGTTAGTGGAGTGAATAGTCATGCACATATAATTAACGCTGAAGGCTCGATAAAATAAAATTATGCTAAGTAGTTGCGTGTGGATCGAATTGCAACGCTACGCATCATCATAGAACAGAGCATAGAATGGCAATCAACTCTTTACCTCAACTCATCAACTTCGAAAAGGCTTTCGATAGCGTCAATCGAGAGGTAATTAAGCAGCTGCTTCAACGCTACAGTTTCAGTGCCACAATCCTTTATCAACCTCATTCAACAGCTATATGCTATGTGATGCTACATGCCAAGTGATCCACAATGGAAAGCCTAGTGATGCCTTTGAAGTGAAGACAGAAGTAAAACAAGGTTGCCTACTACCACTGATGATCTTCTTAATTGTAGTGGAATGGACTGGATCATGCAACAAACTATGAGGAGCGAGAAGAGGGACATACGCTGGTTGATCGATGAAAAAACTCTGGAAGATTTGGATTCGCCGATGACTTATGTCTAGCATCGCACAAACTCGAAGATGTACAGTGGAAAACTAACGAGTTTACAGAGAAGGCAGTGAAGGAAGACGGGACTTCGGGTGAACGTAGAGAAGATGGAGGTGATGAAGATACCCAACCACCATCAACAACAAGCACCAATCACCATCAACAGGAGAAACCTAAAGGAAGTTTTCTCTTTTACCTACCTAGGCGGCGTTGTTTTAACTACAGGCGGCACAAATGGGGAAATCGGAAAAGCAAGACAGGCGTTCATTAGCCTGTAACTAGTGTGAAGATCTGCACTCAGCATGTGGAACAAGATCCGGACTTTCAATACTAATGTCAGTCAAGTCAGCGCCTTTATGTGATGGTCCAGAAACTTGGCGCGTTACTAAAAGCATTTCCAACAAACTACAGACATTCATCAACAGCTGACGCCTACCCTCACTCGATACTGAAGCTCATATGGCCCGAATAACAAGAATAAGCAACAAGGAATTCTGGCTGGCTGGCAACGAACCAACCGAAAACCTATCGTCCAACAAATATGCAGAAGGAAGTGGAGATGGATTGGGCATACACTGAGAAGATCATTTCAGAACATCACGCATCAGGCCAAGTCGTCGAGTGGAACCCAAATGGGAAACGACGAGTTGGGCGTTCGAGGTGAGGGTGACAGGGAGGAGATCGTGTGAGGAAGAAATGAAAACTTCTTGGCAGTCATGGAGCCAGGTTGAAAAGACTGGAGAGAACAGAGGGAAATGGCGACGTGCTACTGAAGCCCTATGTTCCACTAGGAACCCAAGTGACAAATAGTAATAAAGTGGAACGTAGTTGACCTCTTTCAACTAGTTTTATTTCCTGTAGTAAAATAGGAAAGCTCGAATTAATGCACCTCTGTGCAATTTTCTACCCTAATCTATCTGTACAACTGACAAGACGACTAACTACTTCTCAATTTTACTTTTCTGTTTAGCGAAGCTTCAGGTGTTGTTTTGTGATTCAACTGAAGTGGTACAACGCCTTATTAAATCTTCTCCAGAAAGCCCACGATACATTATATTACTTCCCTACGCATCGAAAAGCACAAACTATCAACTTATTTCGTCTGAAAATACCTCAATAAAAACTTACACCTATGAAACGTTTTTGGTGAGTTTCATTTTCTGATTTCCCCTAATTATTTGCGGTATTCAACGCGTTTTCAGCGCTATATCATCAATCACATTCACTATGTTTTCCGCCTACTCTGGTGCAACTAGACAGTAAGATCAAGTGGTTTTCAGTAGATCCTAGTTCACTTTCTCCTTGGTATATCTATCTCAGTTTCGGTAACTCAATAAAAGTGCATTGTGTTAATCAGATTGGTGAGTGTGGAATGCGTATTAAATTTTCACTTACTTCTCAACCCGTGATAATAGAATCGAAACAACCCCTGCAAAATCAATATTTCTATGATATCATAGGGTGAGCTTACACTAAAAAGTGGAAGATATACACATACTCATCATGAAATGCGAAGCGCAAAATGTCGATCATTTCGTCAGTTATGAATGCATTCTGTTGACAGGAATAGAATGAACCAAAAGAATTTCACCAACAGATCATGGTTTTCATTAGTTGTTTGGCGAATATCTGTTTTGGTTGAAGTTTGCTTGAAGTCTATATTGAATTCTAGAGCCACATACTGGTTTTATTCTTTTGACTCCCCAAACTACTTGCCTATAGGCAAGTTTTCTTTATAATTGAAGTTAACTTACGTAATGTCCTTCAAAAGCTGCCAAACCGATGACATTGAATATATTTCAAAATGTGCATGAGATACGTGATACAAGGATGAAGCTGTCAGTGGATACCCTTTGTCTGATTTTGTTGTTCAGTGTTGGATTAAAAAACCAGCTGTCTTAAACGTAAGTTTTAGCTCCAACTAATGACTATTGTATGCAGTTGTAGTGTTTTCTCTCTGTCATAACAGTTTTCAAAAGTCTTAAGATAGACTTGTTTTTCATTCGATAATGTAAAAAGTATGCTTAATTTAAGTTGCTGTAAATTCTCATAGGTGACTCTGGAAAATTATATATTCCCTAATAGCTGCCAACTCCCGGAATATTGCGAGGAGTTTTAGTCGTATGACATCCTGTTTCATTCAAATACCTTTAATGTTTCACTGTTTTGAAGTTGTCTTCCCCATACTCTCATGAGATCTTGATACTTCCACTCTGAACCATCTTCTCCCTGTCTTTTATTTTGACTTTTATAATTTTTGACGTAAACAACTAAACGTATATGTAAGAAGTCTAACTAAGTTTTCTCCGTGGATGAAGTTGTAATCCATTGCTTACCTTTGCGGCCTACCGAATTAGATGGATTTTAATCCATTAATGTAGTTGAATTTGTGCAGTGATGAAACATTACCAAACTTATATCTAATGCCACTGGTTGTCTCTGACGGACTTTTAAAAATCTGATGCACTTGAGCATTTATTATTGACCGTATTCAACAGAAGTTAGTAAATCAGACTTCTAAATAACGTAGAGTAAACCATCGAAAGAAATTTACTCAACCTTGATCTTTATTACCACATTTCATTTTCCTTATCTACATGGTTGGTACTGAAAAAGCTTACCAAATTAAAGTACTTTATATGTTCTGAAACCCTGTTTCGTAGCTGTCGATTAGACAGTGTGAACCTTAAATGTATGTGATTGTATTTTAGTGGTGTTTGTTAGATTTATGTTACACAAAGATAATACAACTTTTAGCATTACTTTCAACAAATTGTTTGCTGAAACACTCACTAAGTGGTGCAGGTCCAGGCCTCTAACTAAGCATCAGTTCCCACTCTCCACTTTGATGATGAGCACAAGCTAGTTTGAAACCCCTTCAACCATCCAGCATCAAATGGATGGTACCGAGAAATCAAATCATTTAAGTTGATGTCTATGCTGCGAACTTGAATTCAGTCAGTTTCTAGTACTCCATAAGTTGCTATACAATAACCTATCAGTATGCCTAATTCGATTCTACGGGAAGTTGTCTACGATCTAGATCACTCAGGGATAATGTCTCTGACTATTGAGCTTCATTAAACAGTTTCTGAGGAACACCAGCTGGCTAGGGGCCTCATATTGGTCTTGCTGATAGGCTTTGAGAACCATGAAGTCTGGGGGAAAAGCTTTCCCACTATGCAGAAAAAATCATTATTACTTATGACAATATCAGAAATAATTTTTCATTTTAATTCATGTGAATTTTCAGAACATATGCATTACAGCACTATCATCATGAACATCATATCAGATCAACTTTCTTGTATTTTATATCCAACTCTTTTAAAGCATTATCTACGTACACTAGAATCCTGATGCCAACATCATTGTGGTGAATAAGTAAAAGATGTTGTGCCACTGTGGGAAGTAGATAAATTCTACTACCTAAAAGACGTAATTAAAACACCTATCAGACATAAGCTAAAACTACTATTCTATGACTTGAGCCCACCTAACTTCCAAACTGTCACTAGGTGGATTATGTTTCATACCGGTAACTGCCTTGTCGGTAGTCAAGTTTCTAAGTAAGCAAGCCGTAACTATATTTATTTAAACTTAGTACATAATTTATACTTCCTTTGTTGTTTACCTCTTTTCCGACTCTCACAGCATTGGTGGATGCAATAATGTTCATACACTTTTTACTCGCCTAATTGTTCAAATATACCTCCAGTAATCTCAGTAGGTGAATTCAAAGTTTTAGTTAACATGACTTGAATTCTTATGCACTGGCCTAATTTTTTAGTTATTCAATCCAATGGAATTTGATAAACACTAAATTTCTTGTAAAAAAAAATCAAAAAGGTTTGATTTACTAAGAACATTTGATGTTTTTCCACTCGATTAATTCAATTTACAGACTGGATTTCAGTTATTTTAGAGTGCACTCAAAGTGTACTGATTGACATGACTAAAAGTCAATCTCTCTTGCACTAAAGCTTCTATTTTCTTTACCTTAATCTGAAGACTATGCACCTCTTTGATGCATTTTGCCCATCTATTTCCTTTTGTGTCATTTTTTTTCATTGGTGGTAAGAAGTGGACCTACTTGGACTAATATTGTATCATTTTCTATATTGAGTTGATTATTCAAGGTTGTTGAAAACATTTGTGTTGGGGATGTTAGATCGTTGGAAATGAACGTTTCTCGCCTAATTTTCATAAATTTATGTTATAAAAAATTTGAATTATCTCTTACGCGTCTTTATCCGCCTCAATTGTGCCTCTCATTTTTACCACTTTTAATTCCTCACCTTCACTTCTGGATGCCGGTACCAAGTCTCTTACAACTCGCTCAACCTGCCACTCTACGACTATTGCCAACGATCCAAGTCATTGAAACACCATTCCTAGTTTCCCAAGACTTTGCTGTCGATTTCATACCGCAGCTTTCAACTTCCGAACCCTATGCCAAATCGACTGCAGACATCGACTTGTCAGAACTCTGAAATTTCAGACCATCGATATATGTTGTGTTTCTGAGACACGTATACGAGACCCGAATATGATTGTTAACTTGACCTCGTCTTCCTAATGCGAGCAATTTTCAAAATTCACCTTATGAGTGTCTGAAGATTCAATGACTAGCTGTCTTGGACTCCCTAGTGTATACATGGCACTAAGTTTCCGAGAAGAAAGTGCACTTTTCGACTGGAAATCGGTTAACAGCTGTTCAACTGAATGGATGTGTAAGAGATAAAAAGTATCGCGAGACTAGGCGATGTCTATTTATGATCTCCGCTTACTAACCTACTGACTGCAGTCCGGATAATGCGAAGGTTAAGTTCTCCAAAAGCTTTCAAATTCGCTACCGAAAGCAAACCGTTCAGATATAGTCACAACAGCAGGCGACTTTGATACTAAAGTAAAACCCTGAGCCAATTGAAAAGGCATCTTAGAGACACTTATGGAATCCTATGCAATCAATCACTTGTTTCAAGCCAGTACTAACTTTAAGCATAAAGAGAACCACTGTCTCGCTTAGCGTCTGCCGACATCAAAACACGGGCACACCAAGATAGATCACATTACTATTAACCACTGCTAGAGGGATCCGTGAAGGCTTGCCTGTTACTAGATTCCTTGTTTAGACTCTTATAAAGCATTATTACGCGCACATTTGTGTTTACACATTACTGGTTGCAGAAAACCGGCGACAACAAATGTCTTGAGCAGAAATCTGAGTACGTTCGACGTACATCTCCTTTCCCACTCACTATAAGACGGTGATTAAAGACTGGTCTGCACCTACTCCCACATTACGCATATGGAGTGAAGTGATTGAGTCCATTGATTAATTCACCTTCTTCGGGAGTTGCATCACCTTGAAACCGATTGGTTTCTGACAAAATCTCAGTTTACACATAGAAGACCCATCTGGTGTTCGCCAACGATCTCTGATATCTTCGACATATTCAACTACCTATCAAAGGACGAGTATACTGCCATGGATGGAATTCACTCTGTTTTATTATACAACTTCGGTGTGTGGCTGTTGAAAGTAGGGAATGTGAAGAGATCACAGGTCTCTTCGCAACTCTGTTCACTAATGACGGAATCACCGTGTGATCAATGTCGATTTTAGGTAGGGAACACTAAGCAATCAAAGCAAATCAGTCGATGAGGTTGTGAATCTTCACCAACCTAGAGGTGATTTGAACATGCGATGCACATGCCGACGTACATACAATGTTAGCCAAAGTTGGAGGGAAACTCACGATGACCAGCCAATTTGGAGCACTGTCCATGAAGCTGCGAATTGTTGGTCAAACCCGTGTAGAGACTACTTGGGTTGGGTGGGTCATCGAGAGAATATGAATCAATCACTGGAGATACTCGGTGACACGATTGAAAATCGGTCACAGTAGCGTACATGTATTCACTCTATGATATCATGAAAATGTTGAGCAGATTCGCTGAAGTTGATGTTCGAATTTCTCTTTTCTCGCGCACTTTTGTCTACTTTGATATCGCTCTTTTCCTACCTGTGTTTCCTCTGTATGTAGTTGTGAAGTGTAACAACTTCAATCGATGCATTTCTGTGATAGGTTTCATTTGGGCTTTGTTCAGTCATTTGCGGCGAGTAAAATCGCTGAAAAAGCAATCGATTGTGTAGTTGAGAAAACATTAGTCTAATGAAGTTGGTTGCTACTGACTGATAGGTACACCATGCCCAATACTCTGTGACAGTGATGACAAGTTAAACATTTCAACGAGTTATCTCGTTGAAATGAAATTATGCGTAGGAGTTATGATAATCTTAACATTGTGACTTTCTAAATTGTATTTTTGTATGAACATAATTCTGACGTTTTGAGTTAAAGCAGTTTTCCTCGACGTTGTACTAAGGGATCATTCGATCACCGCTTTTTATAAGCTACCTCTTATGTTCATGATCAAATTATATTAATTTTATCGAGTGAAAGAGTTGTAATAGCTATTATTGACTACTAAACACTGACTGGTTAACTCTTTAACCTAAGGGATGTACACTGACTTTATGTTGACGTGATCTTCATCTATCAATACTCTCACCACATTTTGTTTATTGTAATTTAGTTGCATATTACTGTCCCTCTACTCTTTTTTCTTGTTGTCTGTGTTTGTTTACTGTCTGAAAATGAGTGACTGATAATCCTGTTCTTCTGCATAATTTATTCACTCTTTGTCTGAATGTATATTTTCCAAGAAAAATAGAATAAGAAAATAGTAGTCTTCATTCTCAGTTATGGTAATGGTTACAGTCGATTGACCAGGTTTTCTAAACTTCTGAAACGAAATCTATAGCAATTAAGTTGGTTGAATATGATAACTACCATATAGTATTGACTGCAGTGGTTGATTCAGTAGACCACTGTCTCCATCACGCATATATGCTTCACCAGGAGGGATGCATTCAAAGGATGTCTAAAGTGTCTTTTTCAGTGAATCAGTAGGGTAGTACAATGAGAATTTACTTTATGCTTCGAGGCAACTCAACAGAGGGAACAGAAATAGCAACAAAAGTTGGAAAGTTGGGGATAATAAAACTTAAGTGACAGGAATTTAAGTATTGATTACAGCCTAATAGATTATTTAGTCCTGCTTACTTATATTTGTTTTGAAGTATTTAACCTGGGTTCTGGAACCACACCTTACGTCGATAGTCAACACAGTTACTGATTATGGCTGCGCTGCATGCGCATGTTATGATTTCAGTGGCGTAGCACTTATACCTAAACATAACTTCACTGTTATCCATTCATCTTACACCATCTCCTGGCCTGAGCATGATATCCAATTACCTACTACGGATCGAGTATGCTGTGCTGCACTCACTTCTATATTTTTGTAAAGTAAAGTATGACCCGTGAAGGTAGAAGACATGAGAAGGCATCTACGGTTGCCTTTGTGGCCCAGGTCGTGTGTTGTGGATCTACGAAATCAGTAACGCAAAAGTCAGGTGTTGAGTTTTGAATAAAAGAAAGTCAGTTGATGAGGTTGTGAACTTTTAACAGCTCAGATGGTTGGGACATGTGTTAGGCATGCCTGGTCATCGTCTTACTCGCCGTGCACTGTTAGCTGAAATAGGTTTCAGCTAGAAAAAGTTTGAAGGTGACCAGACGAAAACATGACATCAGTCTATAAACTCCGTGACTGTTGGCTTGAATCGTTTAGGCAAAGGTAGTTTTCTCGGTTGGAGGTTGCGTGACAACCAAAGTCACTGGTTAGACTCTTAAGGTTCAGAATTGATCTCACTGGCGCCGATCCATCACAATACTAACCTTATCTTATTTCCGATATCGCATTTCGTCATTGTTTTACCTCCTCTTCGAATCTTTTTACAACTTTCTACAATCTTTAAATTTTCTTTCTCTGTTGTTTCCAGTCATAATATGACTATCAAAAATAAGTTTTATCCAAAGCACTATCGAAAAAACAATACTGTTTCACTGTGTGGTAAATTTACTAAAATGAACATTATTCTTTGGGTTGTATTGTGAAACTAAATTGCTACAGCTAGACATCTGTGATGAAAAACGCCGAACGTTCCTCGAACTGTGTGAGTGAAACAAACACTCCATAGTTTTGTTAAACTCTTTTCTCAAAAGTGCTACCCACTAATATCATAGACATTGTTAATAGGGCGGGAGATGCAAAGGAGACTTTTTTTATCAAAGCCAGGATTTCATCATTCATCGACTGGTATGTAGAAACTCAGCCAAAAAGGTAAAGATGTGCTTTAAAGATACTCAAGTTTTCAATGAAGGTACTCAAAAAATATATGTATAAATGACCAAAGTCTTCATTGAAGAAAAACATTTTTTGTCCACTTCTAGTTGGTCGTAGAACTGCAAGTGCACATCAAATAATTAAATTACAATATAAAGTCATCCACAAGGCGTTGATTGCTGCACCGTATTATTGTTCTGATTTACTGATTTTTATCTCTGAAAATCAAATCTTCTCATGTGGTCTAAAGTTCACTTTTAAAGACTTATGTAAAACAGCATTTTCCCCTTCTTTCATTTTCATTCTCTTCAACGAGAACTTTACTCTTTTCCTATCATAATAAATTCTCACGCCTATCGTTATTGCTCTTATTTATTTTAAGCAATGCTATTATTACTTTACAATGAACTGGTCCATACTGATTATAATAGATGATTCTGTTTTCTTGATTATTAATCTTGTTATAAAACAGTATGAATAGGGTTGCTATGCCACAGTTTTGCGTGCTTACTGTACGAGAATAGCCTGAGTCCCACACCATTGACCCACCCATACACTTAATTCATCTAGTAATTATTTTGCATAGTTGCAAATGACTCATCTGAAAACGAGACTAGCTGCGGTTCTCGTTTATAGACAAATAAAAATAGGCGGGGATCTAAACAACAACTTCATATTTGAAAGGTCATCCATCCTAAAGCTAGGTCATTTAAGGACATATATAACTCCTTTTAAAAATCAATGGTCACATCTTATATTAGGTAAGGCATAAGAGGCTATTTTTGTTGACTGTCATCGGTCGTAAATCGAAAGAAGCAGAGGAGAAAAAATCTTGGATACTCTTGTTTTGTTTCAGCCACACATATACGTTGTTAACATATACTTCACATTTTTCAAAGGAAAGTCTTTATCAATTAAAGATTGTTGTACGGCCACTGTTGATTACCACTGCAATTTATCTGCTAAAGTAGGACTTCTCTAACTCCTCTTTTCTAAGGGGTTTCTTTTTTCAAATCTCCTAACGTTAAGTTTGCCAGCAGTTAAACAAAATAAACCAGCATGAAACGACTGCATCCTCAGCCACTTTATATCCGAACCCTTACGGGGATAGACAGTGCATTTATTTAAGTTAACTTAAACTGTAAGCTGAGTAAATTGTTATTATTTTTGTGTTTTGAGCACGAACCCTTATGTGTTTGAAGGGTCGTTTTATAATTTACTTTACAATGATTGATTAGTGTATAACTCAGGGTTGACCTAAATTCTTCGTGTTTCTTTAATAATTGTTGATAATGCATCTCTACTCAATCATACGAACATTACATCTTTGTTATTTTCTAATCCCTCATCGTATATACCTATCTGTTCATTAAAATTTTAGGGATTGGGTTCAAATAAGTTCAATTGTAATAAAGTGAGTTATTTCCTTATTCGTTACTTTTGCAATCATCATATATATATATATATATATATATATATATATATATATATATATATATATATAATATATATATCTTCATAAGCCTTTACCTTTGATTTGAATCTTTTTAATAAATCAAAAAGAACAAGGGAATATATTTGATGTAATAGAAATAATGATGTTTTATTGTATTGGACTACAAATTTTTACACCAAGTGCAACATTCTAAATGATAGTTTGTTACCGGTTTGTAACCAGTAAAAACTGCTTCGATTATTTTCTAAGTTTCTGAGCTGCAACTTTCAAACTACTGAAATCACTTTTATCAAGTTTTTCTTTTGAATTTACCAAATTACATTATTTTAAGAACACGAAATATGAAACTATAAATATGAATACTGTCTGTCAAAACAGGTTACTACGACTCCAAACTTTAGTGAATAAAATAAGTGAGTGTAAAGGTTACCCTAACCTCGCCTGGTTAACTAGTTTACTAGTTACTAGCCGGTCCTAAGCCCGGGTAAAGAGGGAAGGTTGGGCATAGGGCTAGCAACCCTACCCCGTAAAACAAATCTAACCGCTAAAGAAACTTCAAAGCACAAACAAAATATAAAAAATGAAAACAAACTTATTCCCCGCTGGAATCGGAGAGGCGAAATGACGCCAGTTGGTGAAAGCCTTCGGGAAGCCAATTGGCCGATGTGTCTTCTCTCGATGAAAGCGAAAGTAAACGTGGGGACATGGAATGTCCGCACGATGTTTGAACCCAGTAAGGCAGCCCAGATTGCAAAGGAGATGAGAAGGTATAACATCGAAGTGCTTGGGATTTGCGAAAGCAGATGGAATGGGAGTGGACTCTCCAAACTGTCAACTGGAGAATCAATAATCTACTCCGGTCACCCAGACGCCAACCACGAGCACACTGAGGGAGTGGCTATCATGATGTCCTCAAGAGCATCGAAGGCTCTCATGCAGTGGGAACCAATCTCCTCCAGGATCATGACAGCAAGATTCAACTCAAAAGGAAGAAAGGTCACAATCATACAATGTTATGCACCTACAAATAATGCAGAGCAAGAGAAAAAGGAGGAATTCTACAGACAACTTCAATCAACACTGGACAAGACGTCAGTTGGCGATATCAAAATTCTAATGGGCGACATGAATGCCAAACTGGGAGGGGACAACACGGGAAGAGAACTAACCATGGGTCGAGAGGCGCTAGGTGAAATGAATGAGAATGGAGAATTGTTTGCAGAATTCTGTGCATTCAACGATTTGGTGATTGGAGGCAGTGTGTTCAGGCACAAGGATATCCACAAAGCGACATGGACTTCACCAGATGGACACACTAAAAATCAAATCGACTTTATCTCAATCTCAAGAAAATGGAGACGCAGTCTACTTAACACAAGGTCAAGAAGAGGAGCAGATGTAGGTTCAGACCACTATCTAGTGCAAGGAACCTTCCAAATCAAGTTAAAAGCCTTCAAGGAAGCTGGTGATAGACCTCAATTCAAGTACAACACTCGGAAACTGAAGGATGAAACTACAAAGGAGATCTTCAAAGCAGCCATCAAGACAAAATGGGAGACATCGAGGAACATCCCTGAAGAAACCTGTGTGGAAGAACACTGGAAGTCTTTGAAAGCTATGTGGAAAGAAACCTGCACAACAGTATTAGGAAGGAAGAAGAAAGAAGACAAGGAATGGATCTCGACGGATACCTGGAAGCTGATAGAGGAGAGGAGGATGGTGAAGCAGAAGATAAACCAGTGCAAGGATGCTCAACGACAAGAGGAACTGAGCACAATGTATAAAACACTGGACAAAGAAGTGAAGAAGAGTGCACGCAAAGACAAAAGACACTTCTACGACACACTGGCAAGTGAAGCAGAACAGGCTGCAGGTAAGAGAGACCTGACGACATTGTATCAAATAACCAGGTTGCTATCAGGGAAGAGACCAACACAGATGAAACCAATAAAAGATGAAGAAGGAAATTTAATTACAAAAGAAGAGAAACAGAGGAAACGATGGGCCGACCACTTCAAGAAGCTCTTGAATCGACCACCACCTGCACTTCGTCCAGAAATACCACCTGCAGCCGCTGAATTACAAGTGAACATAAATCCCCCAACGAAAATGGAAGTCCTGAACGCCATAAAGCTACTGAAATGCGGGAAAGCAGCAGGACCAGATGGAATACCGCCAGAAGCACTGAGAACAGATGCAGAGACAACAGCGGACATGCTCACACCACTATTGCAGAAGGTGTGGAGGGAAGAGAAGGTACCTGACGATTGGAAGAAGGGTTACCTTGTCAAACTGCCGAAGAAGGGAGACCTCAGTGCTTGCAAGAACTGGCGCGGAATCACTCTCCTGTCCACCCCAAGTAAAATATTAAGCCGCATCATCCTGGAGAGGCTTAAAGACGCACTGGATTCAAAACTGCGACCGGAACAGGCAGGCTTCAGGAAGTACAAATCATGTGCAGACCAAATTGCAACGCTTCGTATCATCATAGAACAGAGCGTAGAATGGCAATCAGCTCTATACCTCAACTTCATCGACTTTGAGAAGGCCTTTGACAGCGTCGACCGAGAAGTAATTTGGAAACTGCTTCAATACTACGGAGTACCGCAAACCTTTATCCGCCTCATTCAACAACTATATGAAGATGCCACATGCCAAGTAATCCACAATGGGAAGCTCAGTGATGCCTTTGAAGTGAAGACAGGAGTGAAACAAGGTTGCCTACTATCCCCCATGATATTCCTTATTGTGGTGGACTGGATCATGCAGCAAACAGTAGGCAGCGAGAAGAGGGGGATACACTGGACGACGGAAAAGAACCTAGAAGACTTGGATTTCGCCGATGACTTATGCCTAATGTCACATAAACTTGAAGATCTGCAGGCAAAAACTAACAAGTTGACAGAAGAGGCAGCTAAGACGGGACTTCAGGTGAATATAGAGAAGACAGAAGTGATGAAGATACCGCACCACCACCATCAACAACAACAACAAACTCCAATCACCGTCAACGGGAGAAACTTGAAGGAAGTAACCTCCTTCACTTATCTAGGAAGCACTGTTTCAACTACAGGCGGGACGGACGAGGACGTCAAAGTCAGAATCGGAAAAGCAAGACAGGCGTTCATTAGCCTGAAACCAGTGTGGAGATCTTCTGCACTCAGCATGTGGAACAAGATACGGATTTTCAACACCAACGTCAAGTCAGTGCTCTTGTATGGCTCAGAGACTTGGCGCGTCACGAAAGGCATTTCCAATAAACTACAGACATTCATCAACAACTGCTTACGCTCGCTGCTGAAGATCAGATGGCCAGAAAAAATAAGCAACAAGGAACTCTGGGAACGAACCAACCAAGAACCTATCACGCAACAAATATGCAGGAAGAAGTGGAGATGGATTGGCCATGCACTGAGAAGGCCGACTGAGGACATCACGCGTCAGGCCCTCGAGTGGAATCCCCATGGGAAGCGACGAGTTGGACGTCCGAGGGTGACATGGAGGAGGTCATGCGAGGAGGAAATGAGAGCTTGTGGGCTGTCGTGGAACCAGGTTCAAAAGATCTCAGAGAACAGAGGTCACTGGAGGCGTGCTACTGAAGCCCTATGTTCCACTAGGAACCCAAGGGACTAATAATAATAATAATAATAAAGGTTACCCTAGTAATTGTATAGTTAACCAATAGCGTTTCTCGATTTCGGCTAGAAAGGTAATTTTTTTTATAAAATAGCGAAACCTAGTTGGTTATTTAGTAATTGTTGTGGATGGTCTTTAATAGTCATTTGAATAACAGATGATTGAAGCAATGGTGCATGCTTCGTGATTTCGATTCGAGTACTACGAGAAACGCATCCCTTTGATTATGTTCAATTAGGTAGGTGTAAATGCATTACACAGCTTATCAGTAGTGTCTCTGGTTAATGAAAAACCTATATCATAAAGTAAAACAAGGTGGAATCAGGTCAACTTCTTATATGTTCCAGTTGTCACACTACAAACACCGTATCTAGAGTCAATAGGAGAAAAGCAGCAATGATAGTCTTCGTTCATAAGTGAAAAACCAAGTCAATCTTGGAATAAAGAGGCATGGAATAATATTTATGTTATTTATTTGCAAAAGCTAAAAGAATGGCTACATTTTTTCTTCAATGTAGTCGTTTAATCCCTCCAACTGCTGATTTTGGTCGTTTTGCGGACATTCAGGATGCATACAGCTTGTTGTACTCACCGAAGCAGAAGTTATAAACTTCACGGTTTGTCTTTATCCAGTTATTCTCAGACTAATTACTACTTTGACTCCTAATAACACAACGAGGTAAAGAAGTTCATTGTAAGACGTATGTAATACTTGTCCCACAGACGTATAACCGTATGAAATGACTCGCCATCTATCTTTATGCATAATTCTTATCGGTACTCAGAAAGCATTTAAATCTGTACTGAGATTTAATCGTTTATAAATACTACGGGGCCGATATCAAGCAACTGTACTTAACGCAATTTGTCTTTTTATTCCCTAGGATCAAACGAAGCATCGATGCAACCCAATCGCGAAGCTGAACTTTTGCCAAGTTCTCTTATCTTTTAATTTAACACTAAGTTGATTAGATAATCTACGTGCCAAGGAGGAAAGTCCTCCAAGCGTCATTTCACATCTCTTACTGTGAATGAATTATCCATAAAGGACCCTAAATGATGGTCTTGCTGATCGTTAATCTACAGTGTCATCAAGTTGATGAGGTGAGGTCTAGTGAATACTACACTCATGAGACACATGCATTTCCCACGAATGTAACATACACGTTGTCTCCGTTCTAACTGAAATGTGCTGCGGATATTTAAAGCTTCATTATGCGATTAATCATGTGGTTGACGGAAACGAACGTTTGGCATGGACTAGCTGAAAAGCTGTTTAGTATGATTAAGGTAAACAGAAATCTGTGGATAACGAGAAACAACTTGTGCAGTATTGCTCATTTGAGGATAATTAAACGATTCAGCTTTGCCTATTTACTGAATGGTTATTTCTTCTTGGATTGTCCGAAGAACTGAGTTAGCATTGAAGTTGAGCTCATCCAAACACATTAGACTGGTTACGCACTCCCTTTTTAAATTTTCATCCGTCAGCAAGTGTCTTCAATTGGTTACAAAAGTCAGTGAGAGATAGTAGGCTGTTTATTATCTTTTCCAATATCGTCTTCGATAAATACCGGTTGTCTTAACCAAACAAACTGCTGTTATTACACCCTAGTACAACTGTTAATGTCTTATCTCTGAGATCTACACTACAGCGTACTTATCCACACTGTAACACAATGATTCTTCTTTCCTCATTTCTATACAACCAAACTTACTCGAGGAACCTAACCTCAAGCAACAAGCGTTCTGCACATAATGTGGTTTGCTCATTTAGTGAATTTGCTTTGTATGGCTTCTACATTCAGGGGAAAACACCGATCGCGAATACATTTGAGACACCAGAAAAATTGCTACTCCAATTTAGCTACTGTCGTCTACATTATAAGTAGAGTAACTTGAATAAATGGAGAGTATTAATTATCTGTGGGAAATATGATCACTATTGTAGTACACTTTATTGTTTTGTGGCAAAATGTCACTTTAAGGGAGTGATTTTGTAAGCCTTGTACTTCCATAAATTCAGAATCTGAATTTCTTAACATTTTGCTTATATTACTAAAGATTCTGACGCAATGGACACTATATTTATTTTAAATAAGTATGTTTTAGAAATATATTAACAAAAGCTGAAACCCGTTTGTTCAATTCTCTAATTTTCATCCTAAATGAAAAACCATTTCGGTTCCCTTTACCCTCTAAGAATTGTCTTCCTTTTTTTATTTTAAAGACTCCAAAACCTGAAGACTTGTTTATGATTTGCTATACAAGTGGAAGTACAGGTTAGTTGTGGATCCTTTTCATTCTGAAACTTGATAACTATATTTCTTGACCACTTGGTTGTTCTTATGTCACATTATTATGCGTCACACTAGTGAAAATTGACAAGAAGGTGTGTTGCGTCTTACTATCACTTACGAACTCGAGTTCAATATTATTACTTGGACTTAAGTAGACCCTAGGTCCTGTCCTCCAAGTGATCGAGATTTTCAGGGATTCCTGTGTTTTTTTGAAACCACTCCATGGTAGTCCAAATGAATTTCACAGCACTCCTGAATCTTAAATCACTTTCAGCCAAATTGCAATGTAAAATATCCCTATTGTTCAGCATGGTTACTCATTTGGATTCCATGTTGTTGTAACCATCATTCAAATGCTTGATGCTGAATTGTTATTTACGATGATAAGGTTTTTTTAAAGTTACTGATAGTCTATATTTAATGCTTCATGAGTAGTTGCACCTCAAATCAATACTTTGGATTGGATAGCTGAAATAGAGCCTAGTGCGCCATGTGATACTATTCGGTACGTAACTAACAGCCCTGAAGAATTATGGAAAACTGACATTCACCTGCTTCTTCAATGTTGTACCATGCAGATACTCATTTATTTAGTATCACTTCAAGTGATATACATTAGTGAATTAGTAAAAAAAAACTTCTACATGGAATAGAGTTGCATATCACGCTGCTTCTATAAATTCATTTAATGCAGAAATGTTTCAGAAGAACACTTAATATCTTATTTTTTTTGTATCTGTTTAATTGCATCATTTCAGTGATGAAAGCAAAAGCATCACTTAATATCATTAAAATTACTTATCGTTTCATTGAAAAATGTCGGAAAATAAGAACAGGCCTTGTTTGGACCCCAGCACAACATGGTGTGATAATTGTTCTGGTATGCAACCAAGGGTTTGTTTTGGCAAAAACATCATAATCACAGAAGCTTTGGCAAGCCTTATATCGTATGAGTTTATCGACTCTGTAGAAGAGAATATACTGATCCATTTAATTACTCCAGCGGAAATCTTATTATAACCCTGGGATCAACTTCTACTATTTCTGTCTATTGTTTAACTTTATACTAAAAAATGCCACATTTATTGTATCTACAATTCTTGGCCCTTTGTTTGTCAGCTTTGTTAAAATACCTACCACTTTTTGTACGATTATACTAACTTTACCCACCTATTTCCTTTGTACAAAGCTTGTGAGGTAGATTTAAAGACTATGAAGGCAAAGCTTCAACCCGATTGCTGAATGTAAGCTGCTGTTTGAGACTTTATTGTCAAGAGCAACTAAGTCTATTATGGCATTATTAAATGCCGTGGAGGATCTTCTGTTTTATGTTGTTTAATTTTTTGGATATTTCTCGCCGATATTTACCTCCTTAGAGTTATGTTTACTGCAATGTATTGAAGATTTGTACCCTATGAACTCATCACTGAATAGTCACTAGAGTAACTAGAATCTCAGTGTCTCGATCACTGAGCGAGTTAACTCAGTATTGGGTTGCATTATGTTTGGTGTTTTGTAGCCACATGACTTTGCACTTACTGGCAGTGAACACCGTTGCTCGCACACAATTCAAGGAGACAAGAATTCATGTCTTCTTATAGCTAAATTTCACATTCTGTAATTTGGAAATTCCATACTAGTCAAAAAGACACTGATTACCGTTTGACGATGTATTTTTCTACATTACCTCGCTATTTGACATGATTCGTGACCGAAGCAACGCAGCAATGTCACATTATAAGATTCGAATTCCAATGTTGACCGAAATAATTGTATCCTCGAGATTGTTCAGACCCTTTTAAGTAGTATCAGAAAGTAAAAACCTCCTGCTGAAAGACAAATGCAATTTAGTGTATTTCTTAGTTGATGACATAATCAGTCAAATTATATTTCGTAATCGACATATGATGGTCAACCCTTGAGCTTAAATTGTTATTAATGACCATCTAGTGACTATTTTCTATGGAACGAATTTTTTTTACACCCAAATAAACACAATCCTGAAATAATTGAAATTAAAAAAGGCAGTGAAACAGTAAAACTGCACGAGACAGTGATTGTGTCTTACATTCAAAGCAATCCTACACATCAGAACCAAATATACCGTGGCAAACTTCCTATTGGCTTTTAGCTCATTCTCAATTCAAGATAGACGCAGTCAACATGAAACCTATCACAGAAATGCATCGATTGAAGTTGTTACACTTCACAACTACATACAGAGGAAACACAGGTAGGAAAAGAGCGATATCAAAGTAGACAAAAGTGCGCGAGAAAAGAGAAATTCGAACATCAACTTCAGCGAATCTGCTCAACATTTTCATGATATCATAGAGTGAATACATGTACGCTACTGTGACCGATTTTCAATCGTGTCACCGAGTATCTCCAGTGATTGATTCATATTCTCTCGATGACCCACCCAACCCAAGTAGTCTCTACACGGGTTTGACCAACAATTCGCAGCTTCATGGACAGTGCTCCAAATTGGCTGGTCATCGTGAGTTTCCCTCCAACTTTGGCTAACATTGTATGTACGTCGGCATGTGCATCGCATGTTCAAATCACCTCTAGGTTGGTGAAGATTCACAACCTCATCGACTGATTTGCTTTGATTGCTTAGTGTTCCCTACCTAAAATCGACATTGATCACACGGTGATTCCGTCATTAGTGAACAGAGTTGCGAAGAGACCTGTGATCTCTTCACATTCCCTACTTTCAACAGCCACACACCGAAGTTGTATAATAAAACAGAGTGAATTCCATCCATGGCAGTATACTCGTCCTTTGATAGGTAGTTGAATATGTCGAAGATATCAGAGATCGTTGGCGAACACCAGATGGGTCTTCTATGTGTAAACTGAGATTTTGTCAGAAACCAATCGGTTTCAAGGTGATGCAACTCCCGAAGAAGGTGAATTAATCAATGGACTCAATCACTTCACTCCATATGCGTAATGTGGGAGTAGGTGCAGACCAGTCTTTAATCACCGTCTTATAGTGAGTGGGAAAGGAGATGTACGTCGAACGTACTCAGATTTCTGCCCAAGGATTTCGTAATGTATTGAAATTTGACAGTTTGTTTGCCTAATATGATACTGTCGTCTGCTTACCGCAAGTGATACCTGTATCTTCGGTGGTTTATGAGGTTGCGCACTGATAACTGTCTACTACAAAGTTGAACAGGAACCGTGATAGTAGGCATCCTTGTCGAATATCACTGGTTTTTGTCTTTTCCAACGACAACTGCCCATTAAAATTTTACACGGCTGCATGACTTTTCTGGAAATTCGTTTGGTTTTAAAAAAGCGATATCGAAAACTAGTCATTGTCGTTAACAATTCGCAATGACACAAAGCTGGAGTTAAATGGTATTTACTTTGGACAAAATGATGAATATTTTGTTTATGTGATCTCATACAATTAATACTTGAACGATCAATTATAACTAGAAACACCATCTGTTGTTATTATGATTTTCATTCCCTTAATTAATGGTCTTTGTAATGCAGGTATACCTAAGGGAGTGAAAATCACGCACCAGTGTATCGTGAAAACCATTCAGAGTTTATTTCAACGGATTGAAGGCAATGTGAGTATCATATTGTTGTTTTCCACTATTTTTCCATTCGTTTTTGTTTTTTTAAAATACGAGATTAAAATGTTTAAAACATACACTGTACTCATTTTCATTGATGACTGATCAGCTGACTCTATATCACAAGTTGGCTGCGCATTCTGTTTCATTGCTTTGCTCATCATTCTTGCGTTTTGCCTGTATGTCTCTGCATACTTGTCGCACATGTGGAGCTATCGTCTTCTGAAATAGGTAGTGATCTTCCATCCAATGGCTCTTAGTGTCGAACCCCTTTTCAATTATCCAGATATTGCAGCCAATCGATACAGCCTTCCACCATGTTTCACTCGTTTTCACTGTTGACAGTACCTGTTACCTGAAATCGCTTTAAGTTCATCAGTAAGTAGCAGCACTATTCATTCTCTCTGACCACTCCAGTACCCGTAGTTATCAGACACTTTGTTTTATTGTCCGGTCTGTTCAATATTTATGTATCTTCCCACAACCACTATCTCTAATCACGATACCAAATTACTACTATCTTGTGATTTCATTGAGTTGAAAGTTAAATAACCAATTGTTTCTGAATCAAGCAAGAAGAACATTAGTAGCAGAATATTCTCAGCTGCTTTACAGCCTATCACTGTACAAATGGTTAACTTCAGACAAGTCTTAACAACTTCATCAATGTTGGTCAGCCTAAATTTTTATTCCATGTCAATTCGTATAAGAATCTGTCGATGATTAAAGTACGTTTCAAAATGTATTATTCATCATAAATATTATATTCTACAGGCTGTAAAGCAGCTGAGGAGAATCTATGAAATATGTGCATGCTAATTCTGCTACTATTGTTCTTTTTGCTTCATTCGAATTCGTGAAAGGAAAGAATTACCGGAAAACCAGCTGTTTCTTGAAAATAAGAAGAAATCAAGTTTTATAAATAAATTTAAAAGTGAACTCTTGTGCACAATGATTAAATTTTTAGGTGTAAAACTCCAGCTATTGGTAGGATTATGGGCAGTGGTTTATTTTGAGATACCACCGAAACTTAAAATTCTCATTCAATGTAAACATTCATTTTACATTTAACTATATTAACAAATTGATTGATTGCACAATGCACAAACTCTTCATAGAGTTAAAGAGGAAAGAAGTATAATGTTACTGTCAACTTGCAGGGAAATCTATCTTGATTATTTTCTACATCGAGTCCTAGTAATTTAAGCTACACTGACTGCTCATGATTTCTTACTAGTTTTTCCATGAAATTCAAGTATTCATATCTGGTTTGCGATATATTTTTATGTATGGCATAAACTTTGGTTAAATAGAATTGATTCTCCTGTAGATGTGATGGTTGTTAATGTCTAGTAATTTTGTTTATCCCACTTATTTTAGAACATATTATTCATTGGTAGAAAGATCAATCTTTACAGACTTCAATGAATTTCGGTGACTGCCTTGTATACATCGCTGTCACATCCTTATATTAGGCAAGTAGGTTGCAAATCATACGTTAACAGACGACAGCGAATCAGTTCAAATTCAGAGAGAAAAGAGAAAGTTAGTTAATGACCTAAGTGAAGTGATAAGAGAGTAGTTACTATTCTACACATGATAGTGCATTTCATGCAAGTAAATAATGTATTTATTCTTATATGTTTCTCACTTATTCACATCGAGTCAAGGAGACTGATATTGGATCTATGCTTGGTGCGAACTATGATCTATTGACAACAATACTCTTAGTGTCTTAGTATACTCTAGACACTGGACAGCAAATTGCAAGTGCAACCTGACCTATCTGTTTCTTTCAACCGAATTACTCGAGATAATCACTATTGGTAGGGATTACGACAATGCTGTGACATGAAAATGTCAGAGGAAAACACATCTTGCTGTATTTAGCCAATATTCATGATTTCATATCTAGTTGTGCGTAAGTAGCTCTTATCTCTAGTATACAATGTATAACCTACTTTCATACATTTCCAACTAACCTTTAAAGCGTACAGTAACAAGGATTATAGTACTTTTTATTTATTAACTGTTGTATAAGTGCCTTTTTCTGCTTCATTTTACAGTTTTTCAACAGTAGTGCTGCACACTTATCATACTTACCTTTGCCTCATGTGATGGAACAATTGGTTTCTGTAAGTATTTTTTTTTATCAACCTGTTAATTTCTATGTATTTCAATTGTAAGATATTAGCGTCTATCTTCGGATGTTACGAAATTTAATACCAGTTGCGAGTGGATTAAGATTTTCTTTGCAAAAAAAGCAAACTGAACCACAGATTCATTTTCATTATCACATCCTCTTTCAGAAACGCTCTCGCTTATATCTGCGTCCACTATGCAAAGCATTACTTAAATATAGTGTAAATAATTTGTGGTAAAAACCCTACGCTTCAGCATCTTGTGTACGCTAATTTTTGCGATCATTTTTGCGTGGCTGTGTTTATGTTTGTTTTTGATGTCAGAAAGCTCTCTGCTGTCCGTTTTTTGATCTCTGTATATCAATACTGAAATCCTTTTACCTGATAATTTGTCTCGATAAAACCACCATCTAAGGTGCCGTCAACAACAACTATGGAGTGGATGAAGTTGTAACACAGGAACTATGGTCAATCTGGAAGGAATGTAGGCGTTTATGTTGGGATGTTAGATCCCCGAAAATGAACCTTTTATACCTAATTTTCATAAACTTACCTTATAAAAAATTTGAATTGTCTTTTTCGCAAACGCTTGTGCCCGTGAAATGGAAATATAGCTAACTAAAGAAGAAGGCTCTAGCTCTTGTCTTTGCTGTACGCCACTTCCACAGGCCGATCTACGGTAGACTATTCACCCTCCTGACAGACCACAAACCCCATATGTCGGTTTTCGGGTCAGAGTCGGGCAATCCGCCTACAAAAATGTTCTCTAATACTGCTAGGTAATGACTTCGAGATTTAATACTACCACACAAACGAATTCGGCCAGACAGATGCATTTTCACGGCTGATATAAGTAACTATCCAATATACAACGGAGACGCCATTATTGCTACAGTATCCACTGAAGATGACACAGTTCACAGTCTTATGCCAACACTAGTGCGATCATTTCCAGTGACGTAAGGAGATAATTTAGCAGCTATCACGAAAGATGACAAATTCCAACATGCCATCGAATTCATTCGCCATCAATGGACAAACAAATCACCGTTCGGGGACCTACAAAAGCTACTCCATTGAAGACAGCCATTGTGTGTAGTGAATGAATACCTCATGTTTCAAAATCACGTCGTGATCTTACAAACACTTCGCTGACAGGTTCTACACCAATTCCACACAGGTCGTTCTGAGTGGAACTCATGAAGGCGATTGAGCGAAGCTGGGCTCACTGACCTCATATGGACAGCAGCATCTCCGAATGTCAAATGCTGTATAAAGTGTCAAAAAAAGCCGCAAAACATCCACTACAAGTTTCATTTATTTCCTTGCCACTATCAGATCTTCTTCGGTCACGTGTACATTTAGACTTCTCTGGATCAATAAGCGAGAAATCGTACTTAGTTTTGGTGAGTCCATACACGAATCGACCCGAGATCATTTTAGTGGTTTCGCGAACTGCCACTGCGTCCCACCAATTCCAAAATAATATGACTAAAAAAATCGACTGCGTTATCTCGCCACTCTACTACCCACAATTTAGTATACAAGCCGGATGTTTCATAGATACTCTTAAGATAGATAGATACTCTTTTTTTAAGGCGGAAGGAAAAGGAACACTGATGGACGACACTCAACATTTTCTGTTGGTGTACAGAATTACACCTGGAGAAGCGTCAGACCAATATCAAAGCATTATGGGACGTAAACCGCGAGCACTTTGTGACATCATGGTCTTAAAAGCACCTTCACAAAGATCATCAGCAAATACCGAAAAACGTTCGAAACGGGAATATCAGCATTTGCTTGCGGCTGTTTACCTGGGTACGACTAATGGAATGCCGGGACAGTAATCTGTAAACATGGAAGTGTGATATGCAACGTA